AAGAGAGAGATGGAAAGTGAGAAAGTAAGTCACCAGGTCCAGGACTCGAACTGGGATCAACCATGTGAGAGTTCAGTGCTCCTAACCACCATGCCACCTGCTGGCCCTGATTGTTTAAAGTTCACTTCTTTCTTTTCATGAGAGAGACAGAGAGAGGCACCCCCAGAAGATCTCCATGCCATGATCCAGCCTATCTTGCTGGCCAAGATCATGGGTGCATGTGTGTGTCTGACATGTTCAGGGCGATCCCAGGACATGAACCCAGGCCCTTTCCTAGGTAAGTTCAGTTACTACTGTGCTACTAACTGGCCCGAGTTCTTTCATTTTTTTTTTTCTTTTTGTTACTTTTTGGCTATACTTTGAATTCAGAATAATCTTTGTTAATATTAGAACTATTTTATAAAAGTGCTCTTACTGGGACCAGCAGTTAGTGTAATGGCTATGTCAGCGGACTTCCACATAGTCAACTGCGGTTCAAGTCCTGGACGGTGGCTTAAACTCATGCCAGGTGTGTGTGCGTGCATGCCCAGATCCCAAGAGGCAAATGAGGAGAAAGGATTGCGGTGTGGCCATCTCCCCCGGGGAATGATTTCTCACTTTCTATCTCTCTGTCTCTCTCTGTCTTTCTGGCAAGCACACACGCCCTATAGAAAAAAAAACTCTTAAAAAATGCTCTTACTGTTCATTATACTCAATATATTATATTTGTTGAACATAACACACTCACTCTCTTGACTGTGTTTATGGGCAAGAGAATAAAACTTTCAAGACTATGAGGTATGCTACTGCTTGAATATGTGGTCTGAAAAATCTGTCTGTTTTTTCTTTTTTTTTTTAGTATGCTAACACCCCAATTTTTTTGAAATAGTTATTTAGCATATGATAGTGCATGTCAGGTTATGCATATAATAAATAGTATACAAGATTTTGTGAAGAGACTTTTTCTTAGACTTATTCACTTCTCAGTTATTGAGAGACCCCTTTTTTTCATATCCGTGTAATGGCATTTTTTTTCTGCAGCCTTCGGAGGACATCAGCCTGCCAGCAGCTCTGAGTTGGAAAATGGAAATCCCATGTCTCAGACTGAAACTGTGTCTAGGTCAATCCCACCTGTGAGAGTTGGTGAGAGCACAGCACGCTGGTTCTCAACCAGCAGTAAGACATTTGCAGATGCAACAGGAAGCTCCGCTTCATATCCTGTAAATGCCTCAGTGTTGACCCAGTTCACGGACTCTATTCAGCAGTCTGGAGGAAGTAACACAGCGCTGGATGAGAGAAGCTACTCAGAGTCCTTGTCTACGTCCTCCTCAGAAAGCCTGGATTCCTCAGCTCCACGTGGAGAACGTTCAAGTGAGCTTCATTTTCCAGAACTGTACCAAGTGGAGGGGAGAGGGACGTATAGTGCTTATGGCCTTCTGTGACATATTAGGGCTGTGTATTAATGAAGGAACTCTTTAGGCCCCTCTAGTTCATTATCCTCAGGCCTTTCTCCTGGCTGGCTGATACAGATACACCTGTGTATCCCAATATTTCTGAGAAGCTATTGCTGCTGCTTCCTCTTTCAACACACAGCTCAGGGATTCCTCTCTCCATGTCTGTGTCCTTACGTTCCCTGTAGCCCATCCCAAACCCCATACCTGGCTTGAGACAGAGCTTCCAGAAGGTGATAATACCACCCTCTCATGAGTGGTTGTTTACTCTAGATCTAGCCCTTCACCCAAAAAACAATTTGTTTAAACATAATATTTATTGAGATAAAATTCACAAGCTGCCCAATTAACATGTACAGTCAGTGGTTTTTAGTATATTCGTGAAGTTGTACAACCATCACTACTATCTAGATCCAGAATAATTTCATCACCCCAAAAACAAACATGCTCACCAGCAGTCACTTCTCATTCTGCCTTGCTCTAGGCTGTTGGTGACCACTAATTTACTTTCCTTTTTTCTTTTTCTGATTTACCAAGGGCTGTGAGCACCCCTCAGAAATAGACACCCCCCAAAGCGGCATGTTCACATTGCAGCCCCTTCTCCATTTCTCCATCCTGTCAGGATTTGGAGCACACACACACACACCCACCCAGTGTGTATTTCAAGCCCCCAGGTCTGGGACTCAAACCATGCACTCAGCCATGTGGGATCCAGCTTCCTTAACCACCAGACTGTAGGGCTGGCCCTAATTAAATTTCTATATATATGGGTTTGCCTGTTCTAGACATTTCCTATAAATAGAATCATAAAATACGTGACACTTTTTTTTTTGCCTTTTTTTTTTTTTAATATTACCTAACATTCATTCCCTGAGCATCATCACAACGTACTAAATGTGGTTTCCCATCTAGGATAAACTGCATAGTGGCTTAATCAAGCATGTTATCAATAATATTCCATTTCTACTTTCATACATATGTATACCTATATATATGTTTTTTTATCCTATGTTTGACCCTCTGCCCTTTCCCACTCTCCCATTACACTATCTCTGCTATATACAGTTGTCTTCCAGAAGAGTTATTGAAAATGTGATACATGCAAGTAAAGGGAGAGGGGCCACGAGTTTCAATTATCAGCTCATAAAGTTTTTAACAATAGGGGACATAGATTCTATTCAGGGTTGGATTAAGGGTGGGTCTCATGCA